GTCATAAAAGGACGCTGGTAAAGTGGTATAAGCACTTTACTCAAATTGTCAGTCCTTGAGTATGGAGAGGCAAAATAATAATTTCTTACCTTTGAGCACACTCACTGGTGACAGCTCAGTAAACTCCAAAAATTAAGACTAACTGACCAGTTGGCTTATTGCAAATCTGAAAACCAATCAATGTATGGATTGGAGCAAGCGCATAATTTTCAAGTGCCAGATGATGGTTTCACTATGAGGAGCAGTCCATTTTATGACTTTCCACTTCCTCGCATATTCACTGGTGAAACACAAGTAAGATTACTCAACTGAGACAACTGACCAGTTAATCCACTACACAACTAAAAACAAAGATAATTAGAGTACACACTAGGGCAAATACAAGAACTTTGAGTGTTACTTTAACTTTTAGTACTAATCCACTGGAAGGCTGTTCGAACACTTACTGTTGACTACTCCGTATACTAGCACAACTGAAACCTTCTTGCCAGTCAGTTCAGTGCATAACTAAAAAAAGAAAATCTGATTACATGCTAGGGCATGAACAAAAATGACAAGGTTTGCAGGATCCTTTTAGTACCATCAGAAGTGTACTTGGCGCAGGTGCTTTGCATTGTTAAACTAGAATACCTCTTCATTTTCAGATCATCTCTCAAAATGAACGCTTGAGGTTAACCACAAATACACAAAACTGTGGACCAGGTATTGTTTAGGTAAAAATACTGTATTGCATGTGCAGCATTATCTAAAATGAAGGAAACTACGGAGAACCACGCATTGTAAAAAATCAATGTAAATGTATGGGTACATGTTGCATACGTATCTGACGTAGCAAGATTTACATAAACGATGTTTGGTACCATAACACACAACTTTTGATGATTAGCCCACATCATTACCTGCAGGCGCAAGCTGCTGTGACGGCGCGTCTGCCGGTGTCTGGGTAGGTATCAGGCTTTTCCGGAGTCTCATCTTTGTTTACACGTCAAGCGCGTCTCTCATGACGGTAAAGGAGCAGACGACAAAGAACTGACGATGTACCTCTACTTATTCAAATTTTTTGAGATGCAAGGGAACATTAATTCGGAAAAAAAATAGAGCCACAAATCTGCTAATACACATTTTACTTCAAGAAATTACAGTAGTAGTAGTTTTTTTTTTTTTTGTACTCGTTTGTTTTGTGATTTTGTCTGCTAACTATTTGACTTGTTTGCGATCACTCTCTATAAAGTATTGTGCTACAGCCTTTGTGTCAGTTTTTTAATAACCGTTATTTTGACTATCGAGCCTCGCGGTAATCGCGCAAATTATACTATTGAGGACTACGCGCAAATGGTGCACTTCTATTACCTGGCGCAGGGAAACCTAGATGAAGCTGCACGTTTGTATCGAGATCTTTGGCGAAATCGTCGGCATCCGGATCCTTGAACCATTGGGGCTGTTCATCGCAGATTCCTTGAAACAGGAAGTGTTTTACCTGTTTATGACAATGCTGGTTGAGGTCGCCCCCGTGAGATTCTTAATCCTGATATGGAAGAGGCGATCCTGGATGCTTTCGATAATTATCCAACGACATCGATACGTGTAGTTGCTCGTCATATGGGAGTTTCCCAAGGACGAGTCCAAGCGGTAATGGCTGATAGCGGTAAGCATCCTTACCATTACCTACGTGTGCAGGAACTGCTAGAGCGTGATCGGCAACCGCGAGTCAACTTTTGTCGTGTGGACTATACTTTAAGGCTTGATATGTTTAAATAATAAATATAAACTTACAACTCGATTACCGATGATTCCAGCCCAAACATTAATATTTTAACGGTATTGGAATATTGTAGGTCGTGTAAGCCGCGGATTTTCTTCAGCCCAATAATGGTAATTATGCTGGTTCATCATACCATTTTTCGTAAACGTGCACTCGTCACTCCACAAAATGTAGTTCACAAATTCAGCATTGGCGCCTCAACGAAAAAAGTTAGTGTGAAAAAACGTAGCAAACCATAACTTTCTGTGATGCAATGTACAGTTTGGTTGGATTTCGGAGCACAGTTACAGTTTGTTACCTTTTGTTACGTTTGATTATAGTCAACTACAACCCAACATTTTGTCTTACGATTCGTTACCTTTTTATTATAATTCTAAAAAGACACTTGAATCTCGTGAAAAAGCCACTGAAGTGAACTCTAATAAACTGTAAGGAAGTGTTGTCATCTGTAATGTTTTATTACAGCTGACAGTTTTTTGCAGTTTATTACATTTTTTTACATGTTATTATCATTGATAACTTTAGGACACATTTCCTTACATTTTCGAATAAAATTTGCCTTAAATGAAAAAAACTTGAGTAACTATTATGAAAAAGTATAAGTGTAACAGCATGTGAAAAATCATATTAAAACGTAAGAAAATGTAAAAAAACGTAACACAACATAATAAAGTGTAAGAAACGTCCGAGATCCATGAGACAATTACAGTTCCTTACATTTTCTTACATTTTCTTGCGAGTTACGGCATATTATTACACATGTTCACTTTTTCTAACATTTTGTTACGTTTTCAAATTTCCGCCGGGGCGCGCACTTAAGCTAACAAACCCGTACAAAAGTTGACTCGCGGTTGCCGATCACGCTCTAGCAGTTCCTGCACACGTAGGTAATGGTAAGGATGCTTACCGCTATCAGCCATTACCGCTTGGACTCGTCCTTGGGAAACTCCCATATGACGAGCAACTACACGTATCGATGTCGTTGGATAATTATCGAAAGCATCCAGGATCGCCTCTTCCATATCAGGATTAAGAATCTCACGGGGGCGACCTCAACCAGCATTGTCATAAACAGGTAAAACACTTCCTGTTTCAAGGAATCTGCGATGAACAGCCCCAATGGTTCAAGGATCCGGATGCCGACGATTTCGCCAAAGATCTCGATACAAACGTGCAGCTTCATCTAGGTTTCCCTGCGCCAGGTAATAGAAGTGCACCATTTGCGCGTAGTCCTCAATAGTATAATTTGCGCGATTACCGCGAGGCTCGATAGTCAAAATAACGGTTATTAAAAAACTGACACAAAGGCTGTAGCACAATACTTTATAGAGAGTGATCGCAAACAAGTCAAATAGTTAGCAGACAAAATCACAAAACAAACGAGTACAAAAAAAAAAAAAACTACTACTACTGTAATTTCTTGAAGTAAAATGTGTATTAGCAGATTTGTGGCTCTATTTTTTTCCGAATTAATGTTCCCTTGCATCTCAAAAAATTTGAATAAGTAGAGGTACATCGTCAGTTCTTTGTCGTCTGCTCCTTTACCGTCATGAGAGACGCGCTTGACGTGTAAACAAAGATGAGACTCCGGAAAAGCCTGATACCTACCCAGACACCGGCAGACGCGCCGTCACAGCAGCTTGCGCCTGCAGGTAATGATGTGGGCTAATCATCAAAAGTTGTGTGTTATGGTACCAAACATCGTTTATGTAAATCTTGCTACGTCAGATACGTATGCAACATGTACCCATACATTTACATTGATTTTTTACAATGCGTGGTTCTTCGTAGTTTCCTTCATTTTAGATAATGCTGCACATGCAATACAGTATTTTTACCTAAACAATACCTGGTCCACAGTTTTGTGTATTTGTGGTTAACCTCAAGCGTTCATTTTGAGAGATGATCTGAAAATGAAGAGGTATTCTAGTTTAACAATGCAAAGCACCTGCGCCAAGTACACTTCTGATGGTACTAAAAGGATCCTGCAAACCTTGTCATTTTTGTTCATGCCCTAGCATGTAATCAGATTTTCTTTTTTTAGTTATGCACTGAACTGACTGGCAAGAAGGTTTCAGTTGTGCTAGTATACGGAGTAGTCAACAGTAAGTGTTCGAACAGCCTTCCAGTGGATTAGTACTAAAAGTTAAAGTAATACTCAAAGTTCTTGTATTTGCCCTAGTGTGTACTCTAATTATCTTTGTTTTTAGTTGTGTAGTGGATTAACTGGTCAGTTGTCTCAGTTGAGTAATCTTACTTGTGTTTCACCAGTGAATATGCGAGGAAGTGGAAAGTCATAAAATGGACTGCTTCTCTTAGTGGAACCATTTTCTGGCACTTGAAAATTATGCGCTTGCTCCAATCCATACATTGATTGGTTTTCAGATTTGCAATAAGCCAACTGGTCAGTTAGTCTTAATTTTTGGAGTTTACTGAGCTGTCACCAGTGAGTGTGCTCAAAGGTAAGAAATTATTATTTTGCCTCTCCATACTCAAGGACTGACAATTTGAGTAAAGTGCTTATACCACTTTACCAGCGTCCTTTTATGACTCCTTTTTTTTCTGTGGAGTTTTTTTTCAGAGATGTGCTATAAATTTGGAGAAAAGCGAATTGGTTATTCAGATTATGATTACCAAGAGCATTCTTTTATTATCCCTTTTATTATTGCTACATCCTCATTCATTTCGGCAGTGTTTGCATTACCCCCCGGTTCGACGACTCATTGATTCTCTGCAGTCGATGAAGCTACACTCTGCGTACCAACCTTCTTTTCCCCTAAGCACCTCCCCACCACCGCACCCTCCATCAAGAGTCGATTACACTACCGGCACTGAGAGCCCGCCCCCCAACGCTAAGCGCTCTGTGATTGGCCGTAATTATTAATGTTAATTTGTCAATACCCCGGAGAATGCGCATCAAATCAAAATTTTGTAAAGAGCTTTTCTATCAGTCTTGACGAGCTTTATCGCGTAGTATAGTTTTCCTCACTCATTTTCGATACACGGTGTATTGTCTGTAAGTTTACTTCTACATGAATCTCAATAGGAATAGTATTAATTTTTTCTCCAATTTTTACTCATAAGACGGATATACATGAAAACGCTTTACTTGAGGCAGCGAGTTGTACTAATATTGTCTGAATGCTATGACTTTGGTTGAATGCAAGAGTTGTACTTTTTTTAGTATGGGCCATCGCTAAATAACTAAAACTTTTTTAATAAAAATATTAACTCTTACTTCTAGTTAGATGAGGTGACGTAAAAATGTTAGTCGTCGTTGCCATTGCCAATAATTGTACTTTTCTTTCTTTCCTAAGCTCCCGCATGCGTTGTATTTCTGAAACATAGTGGCGACGGATCTCAACGTTGTCAGCAAATGTTGGATTGTTAGAAATTAAATACTCCTGCAAAAGAATAATGTAACTGAAAAAATTTTTGAAAATAAAACTTATTTTATGTGCTTGTATTAAAGTAGCAGCGACTGACCTGCAAGGTATGCTTTCTTTTAAGACTGTATTGCTTTGCTTTTTTTTTTTTACAGTTACAATATCTCATCTGAAAACCACTGCACTCACACCTTGGTCCAGCCCGAGCTTCGTTATTTCTGTTCATGCCGTTGATTTCAATATTCGCCTTTCCATCATTGATAAACGACAGTTCGTAAGCCACTCCTTTCGGATAGCTCTTGCTTATACAGTGGCAATTTTGCTTATTTTGGTAAAGCGTTCCACAAACTCGACAGACTTGGCTGTTTGGTAATGTTAAGCTTTTCGTCAAAGAACTAGGTTTCGGACTAAAAACAAGAGTATATGTTATTTAAAAAATAATATTTTCGTTACTTATGTTATATATTAAATAGTGTGTTTTTCTCTACAACTCGAATATCTTTTTTTATACATAAAACTTGTAAATGCAACTAAGTTTTTTTTTTTTTTTGACAACTCATGTACTTTAATTTTATTACTCCTTATTTTAGTAAGGTTCTAAAAATCAGCAAGTTTTATCTAGATTTTTCAAAAGCCTTTGAAGTCAGTTTCTACTATTAATAACTACCTAGTATGTAAGTTTCGTAACCATGAAGATTGTGTGGTGCTCTTATAGAAAGGGCAACTAACAAAACTGGACCGATAAGAGAGCACCAGGGAGAAGATAGACTCCAGCCAATTAGGACCCTCAGTCTCATGGTTCTGATTGACTGAAGTCTATCCCTTTCTTGGCGCTTTTTGTCCTAAACTGTAGTCCAATTAACATTCCTATAGAGACAGAAGACTTCACGAAATCATAGATCACAACATGTCTTTCATGGACGTGAAAACAGTACAATATCAATTTTACACTCACACCTATATATATAGAGTTTATAAAAAATTGTATGATACTTTTGAAGTAAAATTTAATTAAACACGCCAGATATAAGGAGTGAACCCACGAAACGAGCTAACGCAGACTTAGAGCATATACTCCTGGAGGTAGTATAATAATGCTTTACAGCGTGATGAGACAGACCAATTTTTATAAGCTGCTATCTCTTTCTAGCAAGACCAGTTAGTTGACGCATAGTAGCTATCTCACTCTAGTTAAAAAAACAATTGGGTGTCGCTGATGAAATGAAACGTCTCTACTAATCGTATTCTAGCTAGAGAGGGATCGTTACTGCTAAAACTTGGTCCGCCGCGTCACGCTGTGAAGTATTACTATGCTACCTTCAGGAATATATGCTCTAAGAACGCAAATATTGGATAGGGTGGGGCAATCGGAGCACTTTTTCGCAGCCTCATTTTTTTAACACTATTACTGCTAAGATATATTATTTATGATACTAAAAAAAATACAAATTAAGTCTAAATAACTTACAAATAAATAAAAAAATTTTTCATTCTTCCACCTGAACTTAAACATACTTAAAAAAATTTTAAACCGAAGTGACTGCCAGGTTAGAAAAAGTGGGAAAATCGGAGCGGTTTTCGTGAGGCATTCGGAGCAGTTTTATAGTTGATTTTCCTTTTTTTTTCAACAATTTTACATGGAAAATCACATCACATTCTTGATTACTAAATTACAAATAATTTGGTGGATAAATAATACAGAGGCAGTTTTTGTAAATAAGAAACAAGTTGTGTTTCATCATGGATCCATTTCTTTTTTTGATGTTAGAGCAGACGAAACAAGCACTACGAAACCACTCCAATTGTTTCACGAAAACCGTTCCGATTGCCTCTTTTTCAAAAAAATTTATCAACTTTAAAAAAACGTGTTAAAATTTTTACAAAAATTTTTTATAAAAATTAAGCTAATATATTACATTTTATATTTCACGCATCAAAATTGCAGTTTTTAGATTTTTTCAAGCATTTTTCATGCGATAAAACTGATATGAACATCATTTTTTTTCGACTCAAAGGTGACAGTACACTTTAACTTGTTTTCATTCGAAAAATACAGTTTTTTGTTGGTATATTAAAATGTAAAAAAAAAACTAGTTAGGACCAGGACTTTTCATACATATTTTTTTTTATAATTGGATAAATTTACAAACAGATTTCAAGAAAAGCCCCGATTACCCCGCTGCTCCGATTGCTCCACCCTATCCTAAATATACAATACACCAGGCTTTCTATCATTCTCTTTTATATGGCTCTTCGTGTCCAACTATTCAATATAGTACGAATGACCCCACAAACGACATTTGCCGTAAAGCGTGGATTGCGTGGCAATATGGGGGCAATGTCGTTTACGGGATCATTCATACTGTATTAAATAGTACTGTATATATATCTGTCAACCCATAAAAGTTATATCATGAGTGCAAATCTTACTTAACTCTGAATTTGACTTTTCTTTAATTTCTGCGTAAATTAACTAATCTAGTATTAACGTAAATTGATAATCGCGGCCAACTTCATATACATTCGCCCAACTGGCTATCGTGTCGTGAGACTCGGCACTTATTGAGTTTGTAATAAATATACCATATCAATGTAAATACTTAAGAACTGCGGGTTCAATTCATTCAACCTGTATCCCCTGACCAATCCCAGCCCTCAATCTAGTCAGTTACTACGTCAACAGTTTTATTCAATAAGGATTGCTGCTAAATCAGCAAAAATCTAAAATTGCGTAAATGATTTAATAGTTAGTAATATAAAAACTTGTTCTTTTTTAATTTTTATTCATTTATTTTTCAATAGACTACTAATAAAAGTGTTTAGTTTATAAATTTTTAAATTAACATTTATTTGAATTTTTGAATATAACCTCCTTTGTTATGTTTGGCGGATCGGACAACATGGCGTCATGAGTGTGTTATTTCGAATGATAAACCTGATTGGTTGTACACAATAATACACCTTGAGATTTAACACCATTTACTCAAGGTGGGGTTACGTAAAAGATAGGCTTAGCGGGGAAAGCGGGGGCAGGTGGCTCACGATCTAGCTCTCGATCTCTCGAAGCGCTGGTCAGACACTTACCTTTAGACTGCCTATGAAAGAGGTAAATGTCAACGTCTAGTCTGGCATGCCAATGGAATCTAAATGATATTTTTATTGTTGTTTCGTTTTCTATTATCTTGCCTTGGTTGCTGTCACTTATACGTGTATAGATTTCTTGCTTTGACCTATTCGCTCCGTGCAGTAATTTGAATTCCACTTGCTGAGGAAAAGATGTCGATACTAACAAGAATATACCTCCGCTTATGAACAATGATCTGTAACAAGCGTTTATTTTAACACTAATGTATCTCTGACAACTAACATAAGTTTTTTCAGTCCCAAGTACCGTGCATGTAGTAAAAAATACTTTTTTTATAATTTGATGGAAAAAAGCAAATTTCTTGTAAAAAAATGTATATAATGTATGAGTGAGCATAATAAATAGTTTTTATTGTCTTGACTTGGAAGTACTCCACGAAATGAACTGATATTCGAGGAAAATTGTGATACTCATTTACAATACAAATTTTGTTTTTATTAATGCACTGTTAAATAAGTATTTTTTAGCTCGAAAGTATAATCAATACCTATAGAAATTACGACAGTTGTAAACAATACATTATTATTAAAATAAACGATTGTAACAGATAATTGTCCATAAGAGACTGTGTATCCTTATCAGTTAGTATCGACATATTATCCCCTGAAGATGGTGCTATTCCGAATTGCTGCACGAAGCCAATACTCTGGTCAACAATATTTGCGATCCCCCGAAATAAGAATGAGTGTCACTCACAAGTCATTTTGATTATTTGCAGTGACAATCAACTGTTGGAGGAGGGGGGTCGCGAATATCTTGCCAGCTAGTGTAATGGCCCGCCTAATGGCTCTGATGACTGTATAGAGACAACCAAGAATCATTAAATAGAAAAGACATTCTTAGAAGATGAACATTTTCTGATGAGTTGCCAGATATACTGATAAATAGAGCCTTAAGTTTTGAGAAACGTATAAATGGAGTATATTCCTAGAACTTTTTAACGGATGATAACATCTGTCCGGAATTATTTTGTCTTTCGTCAGATTTCAAGAAAGGCTTTTCTAAATTCTGGTTTATGTGAGGTAGAACACGTGTTGATGTATTTTGAACGGAAAGTTGGAACTTTATCGCATGGAGTCTCGTATAGCGTAAAGCGTAGCGTGTATAACGTAACATTTTGCTGGAGGAAGGTTAGGTAAAGTACGCTTTATACTAAAAAACCCCTTGTGGACATGAATCAAAAAACACACGTAATGTTTTTTTTAAATGAGTGCAAGACAGAATGTGTTACGCCAACGTAATACTCTCTGTCACTGGTTTTAATACTGTAACGTGCGTATTTTTTACTTTTATGTGCAAAATAAGGATTTTTCTAGCGTAATGCGTAAAAATAATGTGTAATCTGTAGATAGATAGAGGAGTAAAGTAAATAGCCTGTACTAAAGTAACAAAAATAATTTAATTTTTACTTGTGTAATTTATTGAATTATCGAAATGGATATGGAGCAGCGTAAGCTCAGTGGTGAGCGTGCTTGTTACTGATACAACGTCTTCTAGCGATCGGGGGTTCGATTCCCAGTGAGTGCTGATTTTTTCAAAAACTATTTTCACCAGAAAAAGTTCCTATGAAACCCCGGCTACTTCAAGGCAAGTTTTTTCATGGAATTTTCCTTCAGAGTGATTCCAGAGTTTTTTCCTTGCCCCACAGGCCTTCGGGCTTGGATGAATGCAAAACAGTATTAGGGCTATTGGTAGGGGTTAGCGGATCCACAGATTTCAGAGCAACTTGTCCACAGGGACAGATGACAAGAAAGCCTTTCTCAAAGCTCTCGTAACATGAAATAGTGATGCATGAAATCGTGTACTCAAGTGTGTGCAAGCCGATGCGAGTTGAATCGCTGGCAAAACCCGATATATGTGAATTCATCGACGATCGATCCAGATGGTGCGAGGTTAAGTTTCTCAAACAAAATACCGAAGTCACACAGGAAGTCTATAAGTACCAGGCACTTATACTCAACTAGAAGGGAGAGAGCATAAAATTTATGCAAGCGGACAACGGTTTGGAATACGTGAATAAGTTCTTCGACGAACTGCTGGGCAATTACGAAATCTCGAGACGGCTCACGACACCATACAATTCGGAACAGAATGGGAAAGCTGAGCGAAAGAACAGGCCCATCAATAATGCAGCGAGGTGCTTATTGATCGAATCAGATCTTCCGGAGAATTTTTGGGTTGAAGCAGTAAACACCGTCAACTACATTCAAAGCAGAACTCCATCAAGAAAGCTTGATAGACGCACTCCATTCGAAATGTAGC